ATTCATTAGTGCTAATTGTTTGAGAAACAAGCCCACAGAACAAATGATTAAAATGTTAGTGCCATAACCAGGATTATTAGCATGTGTGATAAAATGCATGCGCTGCAGCTGTACCAATAAAACTCTCCAGCGAGTCGCTTTGATTCGGCAGATACTCAGCTCGGCTGTGAGCCCTTCGTATTTGCACAGGGCCTGCTGATGTTTATAACAAACAACTTATAGCTTCTTTTCTTAATTAGAAAGAATTACTATGCAAATTGCGGGGCTTTGTAATTTCGTAGAAGTTTTCCTTTGTCTTTGGCGGATTATTTGTGTGCGGTTGTGAGCTACTCCTGAGTAAATTCGACATAGGAAAACCTCTACATTTACTCTGGGTTGATTTTAGTTTTTTTTTTTCCGTATGTATCAGAGAAATAATTTGTGGGAGATTTGCTACATTAGCTGGGTTGTGTTCAATGAAGTCTTAGGTCTGGGTCACTTTTGTCCTTCTGCCACAGCACCACGGGTATCCAGGACTGTGGTCAGTACAGTTATGTGCATACGGGTCAGAAATACACGTTGGGGAAATTATCCAGCTTTTTTAATGGTTTTATTCAGGTGCCTAAAAATGCTCTTCGGAAACACTTGCCAACACTGTGCCGAAGATTGGAGAAGGAGAGATTTGGCCTATTGAGTAATGGATGTTTTTCCATGCTTTAAGTAGATCACAGTGTAGCGTCTCTTAAAGGATGATTTGACCTAGCAAATAAACAGGCAACAGAGGGGCAGATTAAAGTGCTGATCCTGAAAATCACTTGCGGGAATACTTTACTTTGTGAGCTATACGTTGTTGGCTGTGATGAGACTGTACAGGTGTGTGCAGTTAAGTATATGTGACAGTATGAGCAATGCTGGAATATGCAAATCCAGTTTACTGCAGGGAAATGTGTATAATTTGGGGTAATTTTACTGGTTTGCAGTCACACTGTATGGCTGCCATTGCAAAGTGCAATGTCACTTAGTAATCAAAAAGGTTTTGTTTTCTCCTTCCTGAGGATGAACTGTTTGCTCTTGGGCAAAAACATTCTCAGAGGATCACGAGCAACTTTAACTTGCCAGCTACTTTTACATATTTGATGAAGACTTTAGTAGAGTGTTATGTTTGCTGAAGAAATTTAGTTTCATTTCAGAGACCCAAGTGCGTTCAGCGTGCTGCTGGATGCTATGAATAAAAGTATGCTGCTGTAAAACAATTTAATGAGCATTACTCAATAGCCTAGTCCTTGTTTTAACTTACAGTGCTTAAAGGAAGAAACATTGTCTTAGCAAATTCATTTGGCTTATGTCCATGTGTTTAGTTTAAAGCATAGTCAAGCTTAGTTTAAATCATTAAAATACTTGCAGTCAGGAAACATATGTAAGATTTTCTTCCTCTTTATGGCACGGGGTTAACAATATAATTGAGATTGCAGTGCTGTGTGGGTTTTTTTGTCCTAAAAAAAGTAACTGCTGGGGATGTTTTTGTTCTATCAAAATAACAGAAGTCAAGATAATCAGGATAGTGTTTCCTACCAGAATAGCTAACTGCTAATATGCATAGCACCCTGGGCCTTGCCACTGTTTTAAAAAGATCTATAGGCAAATAGATTTCTTAATAAATCTACTTCTTCCTCTACATTTCATTTTATTGTAGAACATAAAATATGACTATGCAAGGAAAATGCACACTGAGAACAGAAGGTGATTTTTTTAAGAATATATGTTGAAATAGCAGCATATGAAAACATTTATTGCAGTCACACCTAAGCAACTTGTTGAAAACTCTTATTTTCCATGTACACTAACTAGAGCTCTTTGTTTTGAAAGGAGAAGGATGCTGTGTTGGTCCACTGACACCAGTTCCTCAGGCACCTTTTTTTTTTCTGGCCATAACTCTTGAAAAAATTATTGCTTCTTCAACTTGCCGAAATGTTCCATGAGACTAATAAGTTCACACATTGACAGTATATTTTTAGAATAATCTGTGCCCTGAGAAACCTGTGGTTTGGGCCCATGTGGCTACAAAGTTGATTAGCTGAGGAGGAGATACTGATAGTCACTGGGCAATAGTATTTCTAACATTAAGCGTATTAGGTGATGGTATTTTAATGGATTAAATCTACCACTTCTTCGGAGTCAGGTGGTCTGCGGAAGCCATACTCCTCTCCCATCTAAACGAAAGTTCACAGACCTCAGTGGTGGCACCTGAATAAATCTGGTCTGTAAGTAACGGTTTTACCTACACGATACTACACGCCGTTGTGCGTGGTACGCCAGAGCAGAGCTGCCTTCATGGGGCTTGCAGCAATGAGAGGGAAACCAGCTGGTCAAACAGCCCTTGGTTCGATGGCAGCCTGGAAGAAATCCTGGGAAATGGATGACGGGAGATATATCTCATCTCAGCATGCTCTGAGACTATGGTGTTAGCCACCTCTATTGAGGTTTGAGTTTTGGGTGGGTTGGAGGGCTGGTGAGAGGCAGTCATTAAGGGTGCTTCAGGGGCTGCTTGGCTCTAGGCTGGAGTTAACTATTAATGGGCTGAGCTCTTTGACTCCTTTGTGCCTTTGGGAACTACAGGGTTGAAGCCATCAGAGAAAGAGAATAGAAACTAATCACTTTTGTCCCCTCATATATGTTTAGTGAAGGGCTGCAGACTTCTTTACTGACCTCTGTGTCACACTGAAAAAAAGACCCTCTTCTTTCCATTTGAGATAAACCACTCTTCCACCTCCTCCTTGCTCTCCCAAAGTGTACTACGGCAAGAAAATGGGATTAAGTGGATTTAACTAGCAGCCACTTGAGTGGCCACAAGTTGTGTTACCATCCCCACTTCAACACGAAGCAGGGGACATGAAGTGGTTTGTGGCAAAGTGGCTCAGAGGGTGCTTAGGAGAAACTCAGTGGATGTCAGTTGCATGTTTCCAGGTGTTGTCAGGATCTCCAACACGTAAGTCTTGACGCTGTTGCAGTTAGAGATGAAGAAGATTTATTAACATGGGTGGCACTGGCACCTGTAATAAAACAATGTGTCATTTCTGTTTAACAGCAAAGCTGCCCCATATCTTAGGCTGAATGAAGGATTACCAGGCGTATTACAAAGAAGGATCTGGCAGCAGTGTTTTGTGGACTTGTAAAGTTGGTCCACCCAGGACGTACAGACACATAGCAGTAGAGATGGTGGAACAGTTGTCCTCTTCAAGTTAGTTTACTGAGATAAAATGTGATAAAATCTTTCTTCATATTTTTAACCCAAGACACATATATATTCAGCATTTAGGGTGCGCTCTCTGGGGTTAGTTAGGAAAGGCAAGTATCATTGTGGTCTGTCAGCAACACACCACGTTGGCTCTGATTTAGATTGACTGAACTCATTTCCGAGCATTTGAGAGGGTGAGTCACGTCCTCTTTGAAGAAAACCCACGTGCGCGTGTAGCCATGTGTCATCCAAGTGTAGCAACTTGGGAAGCATTATTAAGAGGGGCATAGGAAAATGCATGGGTCCCTGACATGATGCGATAATGACATGTTCAGCGTGGTGCTAGAAAAGCTTTGCATTATTCAAAGTGCTGAATAATATACATGATAATGCATAATGGTGTTATATGGTGGGATTATTTTGTGGCATAAGTGACTTGTGCTCTGAGTATGAAGGAAAAATGTATTATTTTGTCCTCATTTTTGATGTGGCAGAATAGGCTTGGGGGCTACAGCGTGAAATGGGGAGGAACAGGAGCAGGCAAAGGGGATTTTTTTGGAAGGCCATGAAACACAGTGGCACCCTCCGCAATTTATTTCTCTGTGCTTGTAATTATGGAGCAAAGCAAGCTCCCTACCGCGCCCAGGGGCAGCCTCCCCCGACAGCCCCACTGCCTCCAAGTGCGTCAACCCGGCTTGTGCTTGGGGTGGGTTAGCTGGTCCCTCACTGGGAATACTGGCACAGGGTGGAGACTGCCACAAACCTGACGCCTGCGGACCACACGGGTGCCACCCACTCAAGCCATGTGGCGCCACAGGCTCACACTTGCACTGATGTGTGGTGCACAAAGCATTTATAAATTGTAAAAGCCACCACAGCCAACAACCTTCTGATGATGCTGGTGCGTTTACGAGCTCTGATGATGGAAGTCTGTGCTGTGGATCTGAAGGTCTGAAGGCTTCTGAAAGGATGCGTTGGGATTAGTGAGGTTCCACATTACGTGGGGGTTTCATTCCTGTTTTCCTCATTTCCCCCTCCATCCATTTTACTTCTTTAAAATTTGCATGCAAATACGTTTGTTGATATAACGCTAAGGTTGCAAAATCAACTTCACAACCCATGTTTGTTTTAACCAACACCCCTGCTTCATTCACAGCATGCCGTCCAGCTCCTGCAGCAAACGTGGCAGATAGCAGCCTCCTCCCTAAATCAGTCCCGATGCATTCCCAGCACAACCTCCATAGTATGGAGGAGTCCTATGACAGGGAAAAACCAACCACCACCCTTCTGTATTTAATACTTGCCATAGCGCGCAGAACAGGCAGCGTAATTTAGGCTGCATGGATAACTTTGGCGCTGGCAGTTCTTCAGTTCTGAGTGTTTAAGGTTGCAGCTTCTTTTGAGCATAGTAGTTTTGGAGGTTTATTAACTGTAATACTGATATGTCCCCACCTTGATGCTTCCTAAGGAAAAAAAAAAATTAAAAAAATAACCCCAAACCAACCACTGTCTAGCTAGGAACATTTCTCTTTTAAAATATAGTCAAGTATTCTTTACAGCGTTGTAGCCAAGAGTCTAATTTCAACAATATTCTTTACAGGGTGGAATCTCCTCTGCCAGCTGGTGTTGCTAAGCTTAGTTATCGCTTTGCATCATCTCACAAGTACATTCCCAGGCGAGCTGTGCTGTATGTACCTGCAGATGATGAAAAGAAGATACGAAAAATCCCGTCACTAAATGTAGATTGTGCGGTGCTGGACTGTGAAGATGGTGTGGCTCTGAACAGAAAGGTAATTAAAAATTATCTGTGTGATATAATCAGTGCTAAAGAGAACTTGTGGAAAAACATTGCCTTTGCCTTGGGGAAGTGACAACCTGAGAGACAAAGATAAATCTTAAGATATACAAAGTAATGTAACAGTGATAGGCTTTGTGAAGCCGTTGGGAAAATCTGCTTACCCAGAACTGAAAGAGGTACCGTGTGAGTAAGTGGGGAGGGAATTTTGAAGGAATACAGATCTGGGTGTAAGCTCATCACAGAAGAGTGGGAGATACTGCTATTATTGCTGCATATTTCTTAGGGAAGATGGGGAAATGGGCTGTGAGAAAAGCAGCAGGATGGGGTTAGTTCAGAGTCACCAGGTTTGTTGTTGAAGGGAAAGCGTCTTCAGATCGTGAGCAAAACAGTGCAGGTTTGGGTTCGAGCCTTGGGGTGTTTAGAAAGAGTCACCTACTGAGCTTTTTGGAAGACGTGCTGTTAGGGGTGTTTCTGAAGGAAGGAGAAGTTCGAACCTGAGTGCACCAGGGTTTGGAGAGCAATTTAGACTGAAGGAGCTTCAAGAAAGCAGGCTTGAAGAGTAGTGTGGGAAAGAGATGTAGATGTGTTAAGTACCAGTGCCAAGTTTTTGTTGACATTGAATGGTGAAAGAACAGGGAATGATCTAACACACATTCAGTTTTGCTTGTGAGCAAATTTTTTAAATATCTGAAAATAACCATTTTAAAATGTTTCACATGTTAAGCAATGTGTATAAGAAACTGGTGTAAATATTTCCTAGTGAAAGGTATTTCTGAATGGGAACTTGTTTGCCATCACTTTTGCATCATTTTTATATTTGTCAGTTTTCTTGTCCATTTTACAGTGCTTCAGACTACAGCAAAAACTGTTTAAGGTTTGAGTATGAATGTGTTGTCCAGGAAGTTATGAAAATAGACTTGAAAATTTTCCCGTGTCATCTCAAAAATGTGGATGAAATTTTAGTCTTTTCTGTTTCTTGGGAGTTAATGCTTTCCAAAAGGATGCTTTTGGGTACCACTCTCTTTAACCTTCAGGTCTTTACAGGTATGTTGGACAGAAAAAAAGTTTACAGAGTTTTCATATATCTATTAGTTCTGAAAACTGAAAATAGCATTGCTGAGTGTTCACTTGTACTTCTCTTGTGCTGAAGACAGTTGGAAAACATTTTCCAGTTGCTAAAATTCTAAGTGGAAGGCTAAGGTTATATCTGCTGGTACCATGACTTAATATTGTTTAGGTCGTATTTGGGAGGCTACTACTCTAAGATGACACAAGACACAATTGTGTATTAAACTGTAGTATTTTTAGGTGCAACTTAATTATATAAAACAAATAATTCGTAGCAGAAGCACGTATTTGTAACAGAGGATGACAGCAAAACAAAATTCTGTGATCAAGATTACAAAGTTGATAGTGGTAATTTCTAAAGGGTCATGAAATTCCAGCTCTGTTGAAGTGAAGGGGAGTTATGCTACTGGGTATCAGCTCTGCAGAGTGAAGGGGAAAGACCCATCCCAGCAGCAGAGGCGCTGGAGCTGAGTAAGGCAACCCGATCTGCTCCCCATGTAACAACCAGGGCAACTGAGAAAAGGTGGCAGGCGATAGTAGTAGGTGACTCTTTTCTAAGAGGTACAGAGGCACCCATCTGCTAACCTGATGCACTCTCTACAAAGCCACGCTGCCTACTGGGGGCTCATATCAGGGATATCACCAAGACACTATCAAGCCTTGTACAGTCCTCTGAGTATTATCCGCTGCTGTAATTTCACATGGGCACCAGTGATACAGCCAGGAGCAACCTGAGGGATATCAAGAAGGATTATAGAGCCCTGGGAGCAGTGGTCAGGGATTCTGGGGCACAGATAGTTTTTTCATCAGTCCTCACAGTCAAAAGGAAGGGGGTTGATAAGGCCAATCAAATCTGAGAAATCAACAAATGGCTACAAGACTGGTGCTACAGCCAGGAGTTTGGCTACTTAGACCATGGGACTCGCTTCGAAAAACCTGGTCTACAGGGGCCTGATGGGGTCCATTTGTCAGAGAAGGGGAAAAGCATCTTTGGTCAGAGGCTCGGCAAGCTTATGAAGAGGGCTTTAAACCAGAGTTGCTGGGGGAGGGGAACCTCAATCCATCCCACTTCTACCAGTATGATGCCAATGCCAGTAACAGACGCCCAGAGCCTGGAGAGGGGTTGCAGGTCAGCAGGAGAGCACCTGGACCGCAGCACAAAAGCATACCAGCATCTCCAGCTGGTAAGTCACCTTCATCAGGGGCCCAACTTAAATGCCTCTATGCAACCGCACATAGCATGGGCAATAAACAGGAAGAGCTAGAGACATGGCAGGCCTGCAGGGCTAAGATCTTACTGGCATCATGGAGGCATGGTAGAATGGCTTCTATGACTGGAGCGCTGGAATGGAAGGATACAGGCTCTTCAGGAAGGACAGGAAGGCAAGACAAGGAGGGGGTATAATCCTCTATGTCAATGACCAGGTGGAGTGCATGGATGAGGAGCCAACCAAGAGCTTATGGGTCGGGATTACAAGGAGCACAGAGACAGGTGATGTTACAGTGAGGGTCTGCTACAGGCCACCTGACCAGGAGGACTGAGGGGATGAGGCCCTCTGTAGACAGATAGGAGCAGCCTCACATTCACAGGACCTGGTCCTCATGGGGGACTTCACGCACCCCGATATCTGTTGGAGGGACAACACAGCAGGGCAACACAGGGCGTTCCTGGAATGCATTGATAATAACGTCCTTCTCCAAGTGATAGGGCAGCCAATGAGGAGAAGTGCCATGTTGGACCTTGTTGTCACCAACAAGGAGGGGCTGGTGGGGAATGCGAAGCTCAGGGGCAGCCGTGGCTACAGTGACCATGAGATGGTGGAGTTCAAGATCCTTAGGGTGACAAGGAGGGGGCACAGTAAGCTTCTGTCCTGGACTACAAGAGAGCAGACTTTGACATCTTCAAGGATCTGCTTGGTAGAATACTATGGGATAAAGTCCTGGAGGGAAGAGGGGCCCAAGGAAGCTAGTTAGTATTCAAGGATCACCTCCTCCAAGTTCAGGAGCAATGCATTCCAACAAAGAGGAAGTCAGGCAAAAATGGCAGTGGGCCTACATGGATGAACAAGGAGCTCCTGGACAATCTCAGACTCAAAAAGGAAGCCTGCAGAGGATAGAAGCAAGGACAGGTAGCTTGGGAGGAATACAGGGAAAATGTCCAAGCAGCCAGGGATCAGGTTAGCCAAGCTAAAGCCCTGATAGAATTAAATCTTATCAGGGGTGTCAAAGGCAACTAGAAAAACCTCTATAGGTATGTCAGTGATAAAAGGAAGACTAAGGAAAGTGTGGGCCCTCTCTGTAAAGAAAGGGGAGACCTGGTCACCCAGGATATGGAGAAGGCTGAGGTATGCAATGACTTTTTTGCCTCGGTCTTCACCAGCAAGTGCTCTAGCCGCACCACCCAAGTTGCAGAAGGCAAAGGCAGGGACTGGGAAAGTGAGGAACTGCCCACTGTGGGAGAAGACTGGGCTTGAGACCATCTAAGGAACTTGAAGGTGCACAAGTCCATGGGACCTGATGACATTCACCGATGAGTCCCAAGGGAACTGGTGGATGAAGTTGCTAAGCCACTATCCATCATATTTGAGAAGTCATAGCATTCCAGTGAAGATCCTGCTGACTGGAAAAGGGGAAACATAACCCCCATTTTTAAAAAGAAAAAAAAAAGGAGGGCCCCAGGAACTACAGACTGGTCAGTCTCACCTCTGTGCCTGGCAATATCATGGAGCAGATCCTCCTGGAAACTATGCTAAGGCACATGGAAAATAAGGTGGTGACTGATGACAGGCAATATGGCTTCACTAAGGGCGAATCATGCATGACAGATCTGGTGGCCTTCTACACTGGCGTTACAGTGTTGGTGGATAAGGGAAGAGCAACTGACGTCATCTGCCTGGACTTGTGCAAAGCATTTGACACTGTCCCACATAACATCCTTGTCTCTAAATTGGAGAGACATGGATTTGACCAATAGGCCACTTAGTGGATAAGGAATTGGCTGGATGGTCACGCTCAAAGAGTTGTGGTCAACAGCTCGATGTCCAAGTGGCGACGAGTGATGAGTAGCATTCCTCAGGGATCGGTATTGGGACCAATGCTGTTTAACATCTTTGTCAGTAACATGGACAGAGGAATCGAGTGCACCCTCAGCAAGTTTGCTGATGACACCAAGCTGTGTGGAGCAGTCAACATGCTGGAGGGAAGGAATGCCATCTAAAGGGACCTGGACAGGCTTGAGAAGTGGGCCCATGCCAACCTCATGAAGTTCAACAAGGCCAAGTGCAAGGTCCTACATCTGGGTCAGGGCAATCCCATGCACAAATACAGGCTGGGCAGAGAATGGATTGAGAGCAGCCCTGAGGAGAAGAACTTGGGGGAGTTGTTGGATGAGAAGCTCAACATGAGCTGGCAATGTGTGCTCGCAGCCCAGAAAGCCAACCGCATCCTGGACTGCATCAAAAGAAGTGTGGCCAGCACGTTGAGGGAGGTGATTCTGCCCCTCTGTGTTCTGCTGTCATGAGAACCCACTTGGAGTACTGCATCCAGCTCTGGGGCCCCAACATAGGAAGGACATGGACCTGTTGGAGCGAGTCTAGAGGAGGGCCATGAAGGTGACCAAAGGGCTGGAGCACCTCTCCTATGAAGACAGGCTGGGAGAGTTGAGATTTGTTCAGCCTGGAGAAGAGAAGGCTCCAGGAAGATCTTATAGCAGCCTTTGCGTACCTAAAGGGGGCCTACAGGAAAGATAGAGCAGCCAATGAGGAGAGGGAGGGACTCTTTATCAGGGAGTGTAGTGATAGGATGAGGGGTAACAGTTTTAAACTGGAAGAGGATAGTTTTAGATTAGATATTAGGAAGAAAATCTTTACTCTGAGAGTGGTGAGACACTGGAACAGGCTGGATGCCCCATCCCTGGTGGTATTT